GAAAACAAGAAAAGTAGAAGAGGAAAAATCACCCATCCGTACCACGAGGCAGCTCCCGAAGCTAAAGGCCATGGCCACTATGTCCCCCACTGAGACAATGACATGTAAACAAAAACACCTTCTCTTACTACTCAATGCCATTAACAAAGGACTCAGATCCTCTCCTGAGCCGTTGCCAACGGGGCCTAGGGATCAATTGATCCTAGCCCTTCAAATTCATCCTGCGGCCAAGAACGGCCAAGCAGCTTTCAAATTTTTTTCACGCAATCCAAGACAATTTTGTTTGCCTTCCCTACAATTCCCGCTCCTCTAACCCCTAATCTCCAGCTTCCGACGAATCCATATCTACTAATATTAACTGCAAACAAATCAGCTACACTACACACACTACTCTAATCCCATATCTCATCACCGGAAACCCACCATAATTTGCCGGAAAATTTAGTCAAACCCGCCAGGCCGGATTTGCATGCTCCAACTCCCAACCCCATCAACGACGATCTCTCTCACAAGGTTATTCCCACACCCAAAGATCTCAGCTTTCGCTTATCTTCTTCCACCTCCCACTGCCTCTCTCTCTCTCTCTCTCTCTCTCTTTATTTCCAACCCTGTCTCCTATTTTGGCCGCATGATGAATTTGAAGGGCTGGGATCAATTGATCCCTAGGCCCCGTTGGCATCGGCTCAGGAGAGGATGTGAGTCCCTGTAAACACACAGGCACATTACAAAACCGATTTGATATTTAATTTTGCAGCCTCACATATATATATATAAAAAAAAAAAAAAAGGCACACTTTTCTAGGAAAACGTATCATATATTGTGGAGACAGCAAATCCAAAGCTGCATCTTTCTTAAATTAAAAAAAAAAAATTCTGACTTTTTTGTATCTGTATATATGGAATAATATTGATAAATGAAATTTTGTAAATTAATTAACATAAAAGTTCGTAGATTAAATTTAATTAGATTATTATATAAATGTTAATTGACGTCTTTACATTTTATTTGTGATATTATTTAATTTGTAAATTTATTTATTTTATAAATTTAGTCTATTACTCATGTTTTTGTTTTAATGAATTTTTCTGTCGGGTAGAGATTGAGAGACAGGAGCGGCAAGAAGGAGCAGCTATACGGACCCCAGTGGAGACACAGTGAGGTCCTTCCCCCGTTAGGCCTACACTACGCACGTGGGACCATACAGAGGTCATACGTGGGCCCACACTCATGTGAGTATTGCGCAGAGGCAGCTTCTGTAGAGCTGCAGAGCCAGTAGCAGCAACAGAGTTGCAGTCATAATAAAGAGCAGAAAACTCCGTCAGAACACTCAGAGGGTAGAGAGAGAAAGAAGAGAGAGAAAGTGTGTCATCACACATCATCACAGCCATTGGATTACTTTCGCCCCATGCATATAAACACCCTGCAAAAACCAATGGATTAACCAAAATCTTCAACTCTACATAAACACACAATTTTTACTTTGTCTCCAAAATCTCCAAACCTTTGTTATTCCTCTGCCTTTTTTTACCTTGTTTTTCTTCGTCTTGGTAACATTTTAGGGGTTTAGTCCTTTATTTTTGTTGGTTTTTTTTCTTTTCAAAAAGTGAAAATGATGAATGGAAATCCAAGTAGTGCAGCAAGAAATAGGTATCCCTTCACAGCAACTCAGTGGCAAGAGCTAGAACATCAAGCCCTAATCTTCAAGTACATGGCCTCAGGAGTCCCCATCCCCAATGACCTTGTCTACTCTTTCAAAAGAAGGTTGGACTCCTCCATTTCCTCAAGACTCTTCCCCCATCACCCCAGTAAGTTTTTTACTTGATTTTTAAATAAAAAGTTGACTCTTGTAATTTATATTACATTTTTTTTGTAATTTTGGGTGTCTAAGGTAACTGTGTGGGTGTGTGCAGTGGGATGGGGGTGTTATGAGATGGGATTTGGCAAAAGTAGACCCAGAGCCAGGGAGGTGCAGAAGAACAGATGGCAAAAAATGGAGGTGTTCAAAGGAAGCATATCCGGATTCCAAGTACTGCGAGAGGCACATGCACAGAGGCAGAAACCGTTCAAGAAAGCCTGTGGAAGTTTCCTCTTCTTCTTCTGCATTATCATCTCCTACTGCGGCATCCACAGCAACAGCTGAGCACCTTTCTTCTCCTTCTGCCACCTCACCATCATCTTCCCTCCACAGAAACCTCTGCAAAACCTCCTCTTCTTCCTACACTCTCACTCCACTCTCCTCATCAATCTCCACTCAACAAACCAACCAGTCAAATTCATCTCTCTACCCTTTCCTTAATTATCCTTATTCTTCCTCCTCTTCCAGTTCTACCCCTCAGCTTTTTCTGAACTCTGCATCTTATTCAGATAAAGATTACAGGTTTGTGTTGATTACTTATGCAAAACCCCAAAAAAAAACCCATTATTTATTTTGTCTTGTTTTTCAAATTTTTCATGGAGTTTTGAACTTTTTGATCATTTTTTTTACAGGTTAGTGTATTAGTTAAGCTAAACCAAATAAAACCCATGATTTATTTTGGTCTTATTATTCATTTTTTCTCATAAAGTTTTGATCTTTCTTTTGTTAAATAGGTATTTTCAAGGAGCAAAGGAAGGTGTGGATGAGCTAGCTTTCTTTCCAGATTCTTCAGCAAATGAAAGAAACTTATTAATGAATTCCTACAGAGGCTACTCCCCCACCCAACAATCACAGGAGGACCAACAGCAACATTGTTTTGTTTGGGGGACTGATTTCAAATCAGTTAAAACAGAGAAAGAATCAGCAGCAGCTGAATCCCAAAAGTCACTCCACCACTTCTTTGGAGAGTGGCAGCAGCCAGCCAAGAGCTCAGGAGACACCTGGCTTGATCTTGCTTCTAATTCTGGAGGTCCTAATGGTAAATTCGATTTACTTTCTGGTCCCAATACTTCTCATTATTCATCTCTTCAGTTCTTTAATTTGAAACAACTGTCCTTTCTGGTGGTGCAGACGGTTAATAATAAAGTGTTTCATTTGTGGAGACTTAATTTTGAAGGCCAAGGGAGTACTTGCTGTTGGTGGGTCATTGGACTTTTTCTAAATTCAGCTGGTGGCTAGGGAGGGGTATTTAATTTGTTGCTGAAGAGTGAAGGCTTTGTGAGTGAGTGAGTGAGTGAATGATGTAGGGCCCCATGCACACAGGAGCATTTCTGTCTTTTGCTTTGTTTGATATATTTCATAATCATCTTCTTCTTCTGCCTTCTGCTTTCCACCCCTCTGAGAAACATGTCTGATATTTATGGACTTGCTTGTTTGACTGGAAGCATTTTGAAATTGTATATGATATGGGGCCTCCACCCCACTCCACTCCAGGGGAACATATGCAATGAATTGCCTCTTTTCCCACTTTTATCTACGGGACCCTTTGTGTGTTTTTCAAAGGGTCATCATTATTTGATTTATATTTGGTAATTTTGTTTTTAATCACATCCAGATCTTATGTAACAAAATTCGTAAAATACAAGTTAAAAAGAACAACTGTTTTTTTCATGTATCAGATGACATATCTTGGTCTGTTAATTGTCTGCATGAGAGAACATTAATTAAACATCCCTTTGTCATACATGAGAAGGGATTTGATGACGCAGGCACGAGCCCTTCTAGCGATGTTTGATACAAAAAATTAAAACTGATTATGAAGTTATAAAATCACTTATCGTGTTTTTATAAAACATTTCGGATTTAAAATATAAACTTTGTCCCTACTTCTAACAAAAACGTTTACGTTTATGAGCAAAAGTACCGACTACAGCAAGGGGATCCTAATTAGTTTTGTTTGCTGAAACTTGCTTATTTTGGTTGGTTGTTTACCAAGTTTCTTCATCTTCTCTGTTGACTGTGTTTTGGGTTGATCTTCTGGACTTGCGTTTTATTTGTTGGGCCTAGGTTTCCCTTTGGGGCGTTTCCTTAGGTTTTTTGGGTCATGCCTACGCGGACAGAAATTCAACTTGAGTAAGCAGTGTGAAAGTTGGTAATATCAACTCTAACATAACATGCCACATTCCCCACCTCTTTATTGTAGGTAATATCGTTTATTTCAAAAAAAATAAAAAATAAAAAACATAATATTTGATGCTGGTGGTGTAGTGTGCAATTCCTTTACACTCAAGAGGGAATCTCCTTCTGCTTAAACTAGAGTACTTACCATTTCTAACTCTTTGGTTAAAACCTAAAATTTTTAACTCAGAAAAATTTAGGTGTTAACCTAGAAACAATTTTTTTATTAGCACAGATTGTTAAAGAATGAATTTAAGCTAAACTTTTTTTTGTTAACTTTTTACAAAATTGAATTTAAGTAGATTATTATTTTTATGAATATTTTAACCTAAAAACATTTAGGTTTGATCATATTTGACCTCAATTGTTGGATTTAATGTATGTAAATTTTTAATATAGGCCAAATTTTAGGTTTTAACCCAAAACATATTTTAAACTCAACTATTGAAAAAGAATTGTGTTAGTTTAAAACCTATAGTTTGGTGGGCCAACCTTTTAACCATGCCTAAATTTTGAGTTAAATTAGTCCAAATTTTAAGTTTTAATCCTAAACTTATTTTAAGTCCAACCATTGGACAAGGATTGGGTTCCTTTAAAACCTAAGTTTTAACCCAAGAATTAGAAATGTTTTTAAGATGGCTAAAGCAGTTTACACCCAAGAGGGAATTCCTTCTGCGCAAACTAGAGTATTTAAACATGGATCGTCTAGTCAAAGAATAGAAGTCCTAACATAAACATTTTGATTCGTATTTAATAATATTCACCTTCCGACAAAATAAAAAGAATAGAAGTCCTAAAGAATAGAAGTCCTAACATAACGTGACATCTTGGTTTGGGTTTCATATTATGATGGAGCACCGCATCCCATAGATGGGGAATATTTAGGATGGAGTGTTTTAAAAGCACACCATTTGCTCCTTCAAGAATCAAAGGTCTTAACATTCAGACGACTAGACAAAATACAAATGCACTTGAAATGGCCAGACTATCTTTTTCCAATTTTTGGTTGAGAAAACAGGCAAAATTTGTCAAGTCAACTCCAAGTTACAACTAAGGAAACCATCATATCATATCAAACAAACCATATTCCGTTCACATAGCCCACATTGTGTTCTCTTTGCCTTGTACAACTTTAACTCCGTGATGAGTCAACTTCCACAGATTGGTGCCCACCGCCCAGGTCACAGCCATTGCATGGAAACTGGGTAGCTGCCTTCTTTCTCATCGCGAGATGAGCCCTTCATCGTGCTCCATGGAGGCAAGCACGAGTATCACTCAGAATAGATCATCGTCGCCTTCCCTTTTCTCTTGCACTGATCTACAACTTTGAACGTTAACATAATAGAGAGAAGATAAAGTCGATGACCAGTATATCCTTTGGTAAAACGAGAGGATGGCAGTATTTCTTCCACAATGTAGGCACAAAGCAAATGGTATGAAGAAAAACAGCCCTCTTCAAAAATATGTACCACCAGACTCAACATGTCGCGCTGAACACAAAATCAGCTGCAAATTGATAATTCATTCACCCAATCCATGTCCGTGACAATCAATTAATAAGGTAAATCAGACAACCATTACATATCTTCCTCCAATACAGCACAATGCATCAGGGTAACTATCATGAACCGAGAAAACAAGAACAGTAAATGTTTGAATAAGGCTCCCATCCACAAATATATCTTCCGGGAACATGACACATCTAAATCAGATAAACTCAGTTCCCGCAGCGAAGGTTGAGTCTGTAAACATTTTTTCCATAATTAGGAATGTACACATGATAAGACTCCAATGCAGAGTGAGAAAAATAAGAAGGTTCAGGCTGAGAAACATGAAAAATCAAACTCACATCTAATTCCATTTCAATGAACATGACATATGTAATTCACATCTTGCACTCGCATGTTCAAGCTGAGAAACAATTTAGGAACCGGAAACTGCTATGAACAATTCAACTTTGCAGGAAGCAATAAAACTGGGTACGGAACATGTATTTTCCATTGTACCAGGATCAACACATGCATCTTGCAGTGTTTTCATGCCCAGGCTAATTTCTGACAATATACTTAGCTGCTACACTTCCTACTTCAATGGTGGCTGTTCTCCTAAATATATTCAAAACAAGCTGTTCTCCTACATATATACAAAACAAACCTCTTTTCAGGCATGCATCAGATGCAGCCTCTCCATAAATGGGGGTAAGGCTAGCCGACATTTACCTCTCCCAGACCCTGCGTAAAACGGGAGCCTTGTGCACTGGGTACGACGATCAGATGCAGCTGGTTCCAGTTTCTGAAGTGAAATTGCTATGAAACATTTTTCAAATACTACCAGAAAACAAATATCAGAGTTTGTAGCAATTACTCCTAAGTCCTAAGTCTAGCATTGTCATGCAGAAGTCGACCGCACCGTCGACAAATGTACCATAGTGAGACCAATATATCAAGATATCAATAGTCAAGACAACAATTGGATATACGTGCATAGAGAAAAATTTAGATATTATAGTTGTAGTTCCTACCATTGGTATACAGCCACATGGCCAAAGTTAACAGGAAAAGAGAAAACCAGATATCATCGTAAAGGGAGAAAATTAGATATTGTCATTGTAATTCTCCATGATTTCTACAATGATATACAGTCAGAAGGTCAAAGTTAGCAGGGGAAAAATAAAGGGCAGTACCTCAAGACACAAATCCTAAAATGGTTTCTTGTGCTTTAAATTATAAGCCGTGTAAACAAGCTAAGGAACAACAACAAAAAATCAACATAAAAGGAAAGAAACATGAAGAAAATTTCAAGCAACAATAACACATTTACAGAGCAACCGCAAGGAGGCCGATAGGAGCAGCCACCAATCCCCCATTCCATTTGCAATTCATATAGATCTGTCTGTGATTCATACACTGCCGCCCGTTCACCAAAGAAAATTCAGTACAAGCCCCGGTATGATGTGCTCAATTGAAGAACTTCCAATCCAATCGCTCAGCGAAACTAAAGAATTTGTGTGAAATCTGATACCAAAATAATCAAGAACAAGTCTCATATCTATCCTTGACTTTTAGAAGCTGCCTTCTCTTGAAAACCAAGAACCCAATTACCCCAATCTGAAGAATGGCAGCGGTACCAACGAACAACAGCCCAATCTTCTTCCCGGCATTGTACTTGTGCCCTCGATGGGGCGGCAGAGGATGTACACGACCACCATTTCTAGGCTTCGGCCTCTTATATGGTGGGGGAGGAGGCCCCTTCGAATCATTATTGGAACTGATCTGATTTGCAGGCCGATCAGGTGGTGGCGGGCTCGGAGATTCCGTTGGGGATGGCGTGTTCGGAGATTCTGTTGGAGGCGGGTTCGGGGATTCGGGAGGTGGCGGTGACTGGGTTGGAGATTGCGGAGGCGGTGGCGATGGAGCTGGTGGGGGAGGCGAAGATGGTGGCGTTGGGGGTTTCGAGAAGCCATTCGCTCCATTTTGAGATTGAGACTGGACAAGAAGAGTACTAATAGAAAACCACAAAACCACAAAGACTAAGCTTGAAAATGGCAGCTCCATCAAAACAACAACCAAAGGATTCGAACTCTCAAGGAAACTTAGGGCTTGGATTTTGTTTTCCAGAGAACTCTCGCATCTGGGTCTAACCCAAAATTCCAAATTTCCTTCTCATCGACTCTGAATTCAAAGAACAAAAGAAAGGGAATACCTTAGGGTTTCTGAATCTGAGCAGTTTTCGAATCAGTTTCCTCTTCCTTTCACAATTCGACCAAAAGGGTCAAATGGGTTCGGCCCCAAATGCTCGATTTCGTCTGCCTGGGGCCTGCCTCAGAAATCTGGGTTCCTGATAGATATGGTCCCCAGAGGTCTAGGGTTTTTTGGGGATGAACTCAATTGATCTTGTTCCAATCCGGATTGCGATTGTTACTTCAGCAGAATAAAAACTAATAGGTCAAATGGTGGATTGGTCAGAAATGCCTGATTGCAAGTTCAAATTAGTGGCAGAAAGGAGAAAGCTTTTGGGCAAAAGGAATCGTAGGTGTTTGTGAGTTTGCTGTCGAGAATTGGAAGAAAGAATCAAATGGGCAGTTGGAACGTATGGTGGGGGAAGAGTGGGCTCTTGTCCTTGTGATCTTCGCCACCTTCTCAGAAACAGAGAGGGACAGCGAAGGAGGAAGAGAGAGAGAGTCTACGCGGGCTTCAACGGTTGGGCTAACTTTGGTGAATGATTGCCTAGGAAGAATCTTTAAGCTGCGTTTTCTCAGAGAGAGAGAGAGAGAGAGAGAGAGAGAGAGAGTAGACTGTGTCTGTGACTCTGTGTGCATAGCTTTGTGACTCGTCAAATGGTGTGCTATCATGAAGTTGGCGAGAAGAAAAATAATTTCAGAGAGTCCTATGCAAAACTTACTAGTGTCACTTTGACTTACCCAATTAAAAGTTAGAGTCTTTTGATATGAGTTAAAAGTAACAAAAAATTGGATCTATTTCAAAAATTAAAAATCATTGAAAATTAGACATATTTTAAAAGTAAGCTTATAAAATTTGACCTATTTCAAAAGTAGGTCTATAAAATTAGGCATATTTCAAATTTTCTCGAAAAGTTTATAACTTGAGAGTTGAGACCCCTTTAGACCAAGTTTATAACTTGACAATGCTTGGCCAACTTCAATGATTGGAGTTAAAATTTTAATTTTAATCTGAAATAGTTTAGTTTGGCCCAAGAAAAGTTTTGCTCCTCCAATGATTTTAACTTAAAATTAGCCCAAAAATATTAAATATAATTTTGTGTGGATATTTTAATTTATTTTTATGAACATCTTAATTTATAAATATGAAGATTCCGATAAATAATAAAAATTAATTAAATATGCTTCAATTTGGAGTGAAATTTGATTAAAATAATTATTTTTTATTATTTAGCCCTTGGATTTAATTTTGGTTAGATTTTTTGTAACCGTTAGATTTAATCATATTTGATATCAACCGTTGAAATTAATATAATTATAAACTATATTTTAGATTAAAAAAAAGTGTGAATCTGGACTGTTGGATCAACCAACAGTACAATCTCTACAATCGTCAGATTACAAAATAGCCGTTGGATGGGATAAGGTGGCAAACAAAGCTGTCAGCAATGGATTCCACCCATTGCAGCTTTGCCGCATGCAAGAAAGTAAAGCGATGTGGTTTCAATTTCCGTGCACGTTCATGCTCATCATGGTGGGCCCACCACTAACCTGGCTTATTTTGTTGGATAAATCTACCCAAATTTTAAGTTTTATCACAATCTCAAATTTTAGATTATTGAAGGAGATTCGGTGGATTTAAAACCTAAAATTTAGGTTAAAGTTTTAACTCAACCATTGTAGCTGGTCTTTTAACTTATTTATATGTAATGCTACAATCATCTCGTCTTTATGAGGTCCTTGAGATAATTGACCTTTACCTTTATCATCTGATTCACATTCTTTTCTTCTTCATCTTCACTTTCACTGGGCATGTTCTCTGAGTCCTCAATCCTTAGTAAAACCTCATAAAACTCCTGGTAAGTGACACAGGGAGTCGATGTCGCTATACAATGCCATTTCTTCTTAGTACCTAACCTGAAGCGACGGAGCATCTCGACCGGATTAGCAGCAACTTCCGGATCATATCGAGATAAATCAGTGAACTTCCTGTAATACTCATTTGCTGACATCTTTCCTTGCTTCAAATGGGTAAATTCTTGTTTCTTGCGATCAATGTACTCAAGAGGAATGAACCTTTTCCGAAACAACTGCTTAAACATTTCCCAATCCGCTACAACCTATGGTGTCATCTGATATGACTCTTGTCTCCACCAGGATGCAGGCTCCGAACCCAAAAACCAGGTATTCGTCTCGACCACCTATTAGAAGGAAGATTCCATTGACTCTGCATCACAAGGAAAGTCTTCTCGACATAATTAAGCCACTTCTCCGCTCCCTCATGTCCTTCATTTCCTACAAAGTGATTCAGCTTCAAATTACACACAGTCTCAAGAGGTGTCATTTGAGGAGGATGGAACAAAGACTGAATGGCATTAACTATAGCTTCCCCTGATTGAGCAATATTGGGGAAACTAGGCTCAGCTGAGTGACGGGGCTCTCTACAAAGCGACATAGTTCTGACAAAATACATCACAAGGATTAGAATATTCATAAACTATACAGGACTGCTAAACCTAAGCTTTGATACCAAACTGACACACCCCGACCAAGATCAAGGTATGATGGCCGTCACGTGAGGGTGACGTAGCCATGTGCACAGTACGAAAGCGATAAAGATAAGAGTTATACGAATAAACAAAAACTGAAAGCTACTAATGTGCACTAATAAACAGGAAATGTTAAGAGTGAGATACAAATGTAAATACTCCTAATCAAAGCATAGAAAGTCTAGGTGCAGTCCAGTAGGATGAGTACTAATTATACAGTACCATAAGATGTCATACAATTATTTATATATGTCAGAACCGCCGGAATCCTCGTACGCCACTAACAGCAGTCTACCTAAAACCTGGAGGGGCGCAAAACAGAAAACGTGAGTAGGCAAAAATAAATGTTTTACAAAACCATTTCATTTCTCAACAATTCTAACCCCTCGCCGTAAAACATGTATAATTTTTCCCAGAAATAAAATATAAGCATATGCATAAATATATATACGTAAATATATCAATTCAATTCATGCTTCACATATTCATAATCATTAGTATGCCATGCCAAGATATAACGGAGTAAGTAATTCAGGTGAGAATAACTTCATGGAAAATAACATATTAGCCGGAACCTCTGCATAAATTTGTACGGCTAAATTCATAGCTCATTAATCAATCTAGCCGGAGTTATTACTATGACCTATACGGCACTACACGGCACATAAGTCGGAACTACTAAAAAAGGGTTTGTACGACAAGACTGGGTGTAATATAATTATGATCGATACTACTCTCTCATGATAGCTGGGTGATAAATCGTTAGTCACCTACGAGTCGGAACCACCTATGATGATCTGTACGACAGGACTGTGCACCTAAATTGGATCCAATATGAGCATATGGTGCGGGAGGTGACATTATAATAACAGGCATGTGTCATATCTCTGGCTAATCATTAACACCCTAGGTGCATGTTTATGAGCTTAAAGCTTCTCAATTAATCATCACCTTAATCACATTCACAATTCATAACTCACCTGGGCTTGCCTGAGCGTCCACAGCACCACAATAATATATATGCATCATATGCTAATTCATATACGAAATATAAATTTAGATGCATGGCATTCAAAGCATACTTTCATTAAAACGCATTTTCTGGGAAAATATCAAGTATATAAATATATACTGAAAACCAAAAGTCCACTCACTGGTATGTCGAAGGGTCGTAGCCCCCAAGTCGCCCTTGACTGCGCTCGTCCTCGGGATAAGCCTCCCCTATATGCGAAATAACTATAAAAACGTTATTTAAAGTATATAGACGAAACAAGCTAATAACTTCTCATAGAATGCTCAAATGGGGTGTTTGAATATACCAACATGATCTACACAACCTCACGAACATCCCCATATTTTTAGAAAAAATTTCTGACCACCCACGCGCAGGCCAAGGCACGGCCAGACGCATCGCCCACACGCGGGCACGTGCCAGGCACACTGACGGTAACAGTGACGCCGTTAGAATATTCTGTTAAAAGTAACGGAAACCGTTAAAACTAACCAACGTCGTTAGGAATATTCCGTCATCCCTAACCTCAGAACTCCGGCGACCGTTGCTAGCGCCGGAAACTGGGAATTTCTTTAAACCTTGATATCTCACTCGTTTTTCAACCAAAATTCATGAAACCAGTACCAAATTGAAGCTCTTAACTTGTAAAACATTTCCTTACCTGTTTAAAGCCCCAAAGATCACTGAATCTCGCCGGAGAAATTTGAGGAAAACCGGCCAAACTTGAAATTGACGATCCCGACGTCCAAATCGCTTGGTTTTTCTTCTCCGAGCTTCGTGAGGGCCTTCTAAAGCTCCCTATGAGCTTAAAATCCACTGAAACCTTCACATTTACGTGTGCATGAACAATGCACCAAATCGGAGGTTAGAGTTCTCAAGATTTTTTAGGTTTTCAGGTCTTAAAAATGGTACAAATGGACTCAGGAGCTTGTAGGGAATAAGAATCTTACCTTTTTAATGTTGATCCGTGTGTGAATGGTGAACTTGACGTTCGTCCGTACAAGGTTGACGGAAACATGAGAAAATCAAAAGGGAGGAGAGAGAGAGAGTGCACGGGAAGAAGAGAGAGAGAGAGAGAGTAAAAGTGTATGTGTGTTCCACGTGGGTCACCAACCAACCAAAGAAAATAACATCTAAGTCCCAAAGCATAACACACACACACTACAATTTCAACGTCCAAGGATAACACCGTCCTTTTACATCGTCGATAGTAATAATTCGGGACGGGCTGTGACATGTTGTCACTCCCTTCTCGTCTTCCCCAAACCCATCTCAATATACTAGTTAGGATTATTGACAACAACAAAAAAAAAAATTAAAAGAATCAATAGAGAAATAGGTGAAGAAGGAGAAAATTGATTTTTGGTTTAGGCAAAAGTAAAAAAATAGCAAACATTTCTTGGGTCTTAAAATATATTTTTG